AAGTTTTTCGTGCATATCTCTTCGAGCTGTTCGCATAATCGAATTTTCCGATTTTTCCCAACACCTCCGCATATAGAGGAGTCGTTTGATCTATCTGGTAGCCTATTACGTTCCGTAGTTAAGCCAGAATAATTCTGCACGCACGCACAACGCGAAAGTGCCTGTTGTTGCGGTATATGCTTCGCTCGCTTCGCAACTTTGAAAAAGTATATGATATAATAACATTAATAATAATGGTATTTGTAATATAAAAATGAAGGTATATATAACTATAATAATAAATATGCATTTTTAATAAAGTTGAATATTATAGTTAACTCTGATAACTTCATTTTATTAACTCTGCCAAGTGCAGTGTGGGAATATATGCTTGCTTTCCTAAACTGAGCTCAGAAGTTTCCAAAGCTAATTGTAGAATTCGGGTAGAAGTGAAATATAGAGATCAGCAAGAATTTCCCAAAATTTCCTCAAAATTTCTACAGATCATGTAGTTGACCATGTGCATATATTCCCACACCGATTGGACCTAAATTTGATTTATTTACTTCGTTGAAAGAATAAAGTATCTTTAATGACGCCGCATATCATTTCTGTATCATCACTAGAGAGGCTGTCAATGGACCTATTTTGAATCTTTGTCTCTCAACCTCAAGATACGCTTCATTATACTTCGTCTGCTCAATCGATCGAGATGACAATGAGCTCATCGCGCTTGAGACTATCCACCTCTACGTGGAAACGCTTGACAGATATTTTGGAAACGTGTGTGAACTTGATGTTATTTTCAACTTCCATAAAGCGTAAGGAAATTAAATTAATGATTTTGTGAAATTTATATTTTTTATCAGGCAATATATTCTGGATGAAGTTTTGGTCGCGGGAGAGTTGCAAGAATCTTCAAAGCGCGCGGTGAGATTTGCATTGGAAATTTTGTAATTTATTTATAGTGTGATGCGAAAAATTGTCGTACAACTTTTTAAACCATTCTGCTTTCGATTAGTTGAGTGAATTAGTTGCCTTGTTGAATCAGAAGTTTGCAGAGCTTTACAGCGGTATACGGAATTTGAGTCAATGGAGTTTCACCACCCTAGTGGTATGAAAAACACTAGTAAAAAACATATTTCATGACTACTGCGTAGTGTGAATATCGCGTTTTTCACGGAGTTTTACGCCACCTCATGTGAAACGGGTAGTCGTGAAACTCCAATGCACAGTAATTGCAAGAGAATGCGGTTTTGCAAATGTTAAATTTATAGTTGCTCATTTTGCCTCTATACCGACCACAAAGATATCAATGGAGTTTAACCCGTGATATGAAAAACGCTAGTGAAAAACATATTTCACGACTACTGCGTAGTGTGAATATCGCGTTTTTCACGGAGTTTTACACCAGTTTACGTAAAACGGGTGAAACTCCAATAGACTCCAAATCATTAGAGAATTCAATTTAATCATGTACGACATTGAAATACGGACTTTCCAAATTGTCTAAATTTTGATTGTTTCAACGCAGCCCCATGCACACAATGGGCAATTGCTGGGGAGAAACTGCTGATCATCATCACTTTTTAACTAGCATCTCAGTCTGTCACCACTTCACTTTCGGTAGTGTTTGCTTTCGCAGGACATTCAGCCCGCTTCAAAAAGCGCGCGCCCTAAATCAGTATTTGTCTGTTGTAGGTTCTACGAGCGATCTCTGCTGAGGATGAACTGGAAAGTGAAAAGAATTCATCATCGTCGAAGCGTCGATGATGAATTCTTTGTATGATGATGATGGTGATGGTAGCTTTCAGAACATTTTGTTTTATTGTTAATTGACGACCGCTTTCTGTGAGATTCTCCCGAGGAATGAGGTGAACTTGAATATCTATTTACAGGTGATAGTGTCGTGAATAGGTAGGTAGGCTTCAATACTGTGCTGCAACACAACAGCACAAAACAAGTCGGAGGTGACTCTGTGCACGCGTACACTGTGTGCAATAGCTATGTGAAATAGATCAACTTAGCGGACGACTACTGATGCCTTTAGGAGTGCACTCACAACGGGGCACTGCATCAAATCTAAGCGAGATGCATAAAAACCTAAGGGTATCGGCGCTCGCCCTAAATGGAAGGTTAAAGTTGATATACAGATGATGACCGTAACGCAAGTGAGAATCTAAACTGCAAATTCCAAGAAAAAGAACTGAAGGGAAACCCGACGGGAAAACCAGAAACCCGAACTGTTATCGAAGGCCAAGCTGTAATCCAAGGCTAAGTCGAAATACAGGTGGGGACGTGCGCTAAACTTGTTCAGAAAACAGGCCTATTCTATAGAAGTGAGGATTTATCCACTCACAACGGGAACAATACGAATCTACAAAAATAGTAGTTAATTATCGATCAATCCATTTAACTAGTTGAAAATAAATTACACATGGTGAAACTCTTGGATGAAGTTCATCGGAAGAAACTGTGTGATTCACGAGTAGGGTCCGACTTTCCGTACGTATACAGGAGGAAGAGTAAGGTGTGTTGGTATGGAATGATGTAGTCCGTGTATGTCGACTCTACTGTGCGAGAGAGCATTATCCTTTGCCAAGTGCCATCAGTCCCAAGACATGTATATTTCCTTACCCTGCCTTGCGTGAGCTCGTTAGCCTCTGACGCCCGTTCCCGGTAGCCTCCGATAATACAGTGTGTATTATACCGATTCACATCAGGCTCGTTCTGGTGCAGTACGAGTTCATATATCATTTAAATATTGTATCATTGTTGTGGTTATTCCCGGAATCAGGGTAGTTACTAAGGCTGTATTATGCTCGTCTTTGTCATCAATTTAATCGCCTGGGATTTCGACGGCTAAAGGTCTTGAATTCTATCAATACTGTCTTAGTTTTGGTCTTGATGACTTACCTCAGTTAGATGGTATTTTCACACATGATTAATTACAGCAAACCCCTGCCGTCAGGACCGATCTACCGTAGACAGCCGTCAGTTTCTCTCACACAAGCGATGATTTACATCTTTTCGGTGGCATTTACTTCTACAGTAGTCTTACCTCTGTGCTACATCACTTGGTGGACTTCGCAAACGCCATCTTATAAACCCATCGAGAAGGAAGTGAATCTTTATGAATGCCCCTCAATAATCGACTACATTGATTGGGAATATTTTTTTACCTCGGGAGACTTCTTCCGTTACGCGATAGCTCAAAATCGACCACCTCGACTGAAGGTAGCAGCAAGCCAACAGCGTTTATGCTCACTTCCGGGAGATCTCGAACCGAGTTGGGGAGATTGTTTGCCAATTAACCCGATCGTAGACCCAGCGAGATGCCTGCTGGCGACGCGAACGGAGTTGTTGAAAACTAGTAGGGACTTTGTTGGAAAAGTATGCATGTCTGCTGTACTCGACATGATGCTCATAGAAGTGGATGAAGTTATGCGAGAGCTTGGATGTCAACCGATTGTCACTTTCGGGACCGCGTTAGGAGCTTGCAGGAACGGTACGCATATACCCCATACGGACGACGTTGATTTGGCGTAAGCATATCGTAGAGTGTGGCAACGGATTTTGTATGGCTGTTGTGAACTGATTGAAAAACCGGAAAAGTTAATTTGCTGGAAAATCCCACATCTTCCCATTGCGTGTTTCACAGTTGTTGAGAAATGAAAGAATTAATTAGAGACGAACGAATGTCTTCTTGCGTAGATATGTGAGAGAAGATGGAAGCGAAGACTGCTTGGGCGAGCGGTTCGTGGAGTTGTTAAGGTCTCGTGGACTATATGCATTTACCGATGACCTCATTCGGGTTTGCATCGCACCTTTCCATCCTCTGGCTGCGAATCTTTATGACGTCTATAACGCCACGCCTTGCAGCTCTGAACGGTCTTGTGGTTACGTTGATATTTATCCGTTGGTACCATACTACGGTGATAAACCTTACCATCGATCAGGGAAGTTGTACAGACATGTGCCATACGATGGGTATCGGATGAGTGAGGAACAAATATGGCCGCTACGGGAAGTGTCCATAAATGGCAGAAAATTCGATACTTTTGCAGATGTGGAAGATCTGCTTGAACGAAGCTACGGTAAGGATTTCCTTCATCCGAAAGGAAATGATGAGTACCTTCGCGACCTTGATATCGGCACATGATACTCTGTGGTTGACCTAAGATACACTCGAGTGTTTGGCAATGACGTAATGTATGCACGATAATATTATCCGTTGTAGCTCAGAAACTCGACTCATTGTGCTGTTGAGCTCCACCAGTTGACTTTTCTGTGAGATTATTGGAGGAAGGGTCAAGCGTCAGTGACTCAGCTGGTGTCATTTGTAGGGGAAATTGCGGTCATCGACATCATAGTCAGCTTCGCCATGATTGCAGTGCGATTATTGCGCTTTTCAACAGACCAATATTGAGGGTGTGGGTGACAAGCACCGATGTACGATTTGCGAAAGAATTGCTTTAGCATATCTGATAGATGCTGATTAATCAAGAAAGCAATGCTCCCATGACAGCACGAATTCGATTTGGTTTTTCCCTATATTTTTTCAGCAGTCTGGGAATTCATGATAAAATAATTCATAACTTTTGTTTGCTAACCTGATGTTATGTTTGGCAAGACCAGTGTTGAAGAATATGTGGTGCAGAGACGGTATGAGCTCCCCAGCCGGTGGAGTCAAACCCGCTTTGGAGGAAAAATGGGAAGTGTTTGGTTCTCTGTATTGTATTGATGGAAAGTCTCGCCAGAGGCTAGGGTCAACTCCAGAGGAAGTGATTCGACGGGCGACCGGGCTCGGTCGCTCGTAGGAGCTCCAACAATCCCTCGGATTGAATCCGAGGATTCTGAAGGAAAGTTATTCGTAACTGACAGTTTTTTTTCTTGTAGTGGACTGGGTGACGGGACAGACCCGTGTGGGACGTGAGTCGTTGATACGACACCACTTAGTCGGGCACCTGTCTCGTGACCGAAGCTCCAGGGGGGAGCCCTGCAAGTCTTCGGTCCTCTCCACACCACCTAGTCGACTAACTCTATCAGAACTTTCCTGGTTTAGTGAATAGTTAGTATAACTAGAAGATCACTGGAGCCAGAGTTGACGATCTGGCACTACAACCGTTGTAGTCCAACGCAAATCTGACTCCGGCTGCCGTTCGCACAGATGTACAATGTACACGAGGCTAGTGAGACACAGTGTGTAGTGTTTGCGCTGTGTTTGACACACAAGATTCGGAAGCTAAAACTACAAGTGGATGACGGCCAGCAGTTGCTGGAGGTCTCTGTGAATGTTTCCGAGGCGGAGGATGAAGCAGCTCACATCCCGAGTCCGAACAGTATTCTCAAGGACTTTGTGATAGTTATGACTCTGGCTGTTGAAACTGATCGAATCCGGGGGGTTCTCTATCTTAGGTCTCTTCGCTCCTTATTTGACATGAAGATGATAAGAGCGTATAACCAAACACCTAATTCAGGTGTAAGCATGTCCTGAAGGACCCCAGAGTACTTGCCGTATGACAAAGTACTCCCAAGCCTCCAGGTTCGGAACCTGACTCGCTTCCAATGCTTCAGCATCAGATCGTAGGTTGGAACATACCGATAGTCTCCATGGCAAATATCAAGATTGTTTCAGGGTCGTCCTCGACGAAATAAGTTGTCGAAGTTTCCACGCATGGTTTGGGAGCCATGCCCCCATATCCATGATACGTATCTTGTAGAGCACATCGACTGCTTATGGGCAGAATAGGTCGCCTTAGCTGGTCTGACACTCAATCCACAGGAGGAAGTGATCTGCACTCTTCGAGCACTGTCTGGAAGTGTAACAAATTCAATGTATATATCAATAAAGTTTAGCCACGGTCTTGGAATATGAGTCATCGGGCGCGCGGGCTAGGACACCACCGAGAAGTACGAGTTGGAGAAGGCGGCCGAGCATCGATTAAGTTGGGCAACCTACTGGAAACAGTCCTGTAATGCTACTCCATATCAAGGATACCAATCTCAGTTTTGTGAGTGTAGCATTACACTTGGAAAGCTGGTCCGTTCTACACCACACCACAATCGAACGCAGATGTCTACACGCGGTCTACACACTCCTCGGAGGTTCCGGGTTACGAAACGCATGACACGTGTGCTACACGTCGTGCGTGAAACACGCACACATGTCGTGACAGTGTCACGGCCAAGAAGAACGTCAATGCCCAGTTGACATTCTCAAGTCCAAGTCTGGCACGGCCGAGCTCCTCGTCGAGGAGCTCTCGAGAAATCTCTAGAAGAACATTTCAAGTATCTCAGTGAAGTATTCTCTTGCGAAACTTTCGGATATCTTGAGGTTTATCATCATAACCTAGTGCTCGTGGACTCTCGTCATAGGTTACGGGTATAACTGACCTCACTCACAATTGATCCGTTAACGGTTGTCAACCGTTAACTCCAACCGTCACGTTTTGGTCGTTTCATCGGACCTGATCGGAATGAATCCTCGTTCTACCGAATCGACCCGACCGTTATTGATGCTCGACCAGCCTGCACGGCAGAGAGCGTCACCTCTTTGTACATGCGTATAGACATTCTCCTCGTGCTTGGCAAGCACAAGAAGAGCTTGCGTACTCTTGTACCCTTGCGTACAAGAGTGTGAGCACAGGATACATGCGTACTATTGATGTGAAGCATTGAGCGTTACTAGCTCTTGAGTCCGTAGCTATTTGGCTCAAAGTCTCAGTGTACGCTTGGTTCGTATCTCTCAAGCTAATGTCGGGTCGTGTTTACACAAGGGAACGACATGAGGCACCGGACTGTCCGGTCCGGACATCAACCACGTATGTCGCGGTATCAGTTGATGAACTCTAAAACAACACAAGAGAACTCGAGCTAGAGCAACCAATACTACGACCCTAGGACAATAACGATAAGCGCACTACCTGCACTTGAGTTCTGTACGAATGTACACACTTGGCAGCACAGTACTCGATATTTGGATCATTCGTTATGAATAAGAAGGCGGAGATTTGATGAGATAACGAGGGTGCAGGCAAACTGGACCCACAACACGTGCTATAATGCGTTAAACATGTGATCTACACAGTTCGTGATTGACGCTGATCGTATGTGAGTGAAGGGCAATTCAATTCCACGCGACACGTGTCACACGTCACAAGTCTAAAAGAGTCGCACGTGTCTAACTTATTCCATCGAGTAAGCCCCTGAAACAACCTTAATATTTGCCATAGAGACTACTGCCAATAGTCTATTGGTGTCTTTCAACCTACGGCCTGCTGCCGAAGGATCAACTCTGGATGCGTGACGTCTCCGAAGTTGGGTAACCTCGTCGGGTTGCAGTTTAATTACTATTATCGTCGTTTTGGTGACTCTCCAAAGAATAACTTTTTCCTGCATCATGGCACGTCACTACACTCTCATTATGCTGTTCTCCGCTATCTTATCAATCGGCTACTCACTGTCTCAGGACAAGAATGTATCTGTCGACAACGATATACCTGCAAACCACTGGGCTGTGAGTGCAGTGATTGAGGGAATCATCATATCATTTGAGAGACAAGTAACGGGAACAGTTTATATTGTGTGACTGCTCAGGTCCTCATCGCCGGTTCCAACACTTATAAGAACTACCGACATCAAGCTGACTTATGTCATGCGTATCAGATTCTCAGAGGAAATGGTGTACCCAAGGAGCACATCATCACTTTATCGTAAGAGAGACCTCCTTAGCGCACTGGTGGCAGCCGTGGTCTCTCCTGTCATCTCCAGGTATAACGATGCTGTCAATCACCGTTATAACCCTTTCAAGGGGCAACTATTTAACAAACCAACGGGTGGGCTCGTTCGTCACCTAAGGAGCCCATGAGCCCTCACTTTAAGGTGACCGCCCTGGCGTTGATGTCTATGAAGGTTGCGAGATAGACTATAGTGGCGAGGCGGTCACGGTCAAAAACGTACAAGGAGTGAGTCTCGTTGAATGCGAGTCCATCTCTTATCCAGGATAAGTTATCCTACACAAGATATGCTTCCCTCAGCCTCGGAATCATTCTTGCTATTGCTGCGATAACATAGCAAGAATGGTTGCTTTCCACATGCAACAACAATAATAGCAGGAACCTTCAATAGTATTGCAGGTTCTAACCGGCGATAAGTCGCTAGCATCGGGGAAAGTTCTGGAAAGCACCGAGAACGATTACGTCTTCATCAATTTTGTGGGTCACGGCGATCGTTAGATAATTCTCGAAGCATCATCGAGATTATCTGAGTGATTCTTCCTCAGCGGATACGATTTACCTCCCAGCTGAGAAAATAACTGAAGCACAACTTCAATCGTGGTTGACGGCCATGGAGAAGAAAAAGATGTGGCTTGCAATTCCACAGTCATTCGCACGACACACAACATATCATTCAGGTATAAACAGTTGGTGTTCTATGTCGAGGCGTGTGAAGCTGGCAGTTTGTTCGCGGGGAGTCCTCCTATTCCGGGCCAGTAAGGGTGCCATACTGGGGCATGCCGTTCGTCTGCGAAACCGGGAGCGCATGACTTCTCATATTTGGCAGATATTACGTCACAGCTTCCAATGCACAGGAGTCGAGTATTGGAACGTACTGTTTTCCAGTAGGAGTGATTCTGATCCTCATCCCACATCATGTCGGCGAAATAGATGGCCGTTCTTTCTTCAGCATGCTATGGTTGCTAACGTATCTTTTCGCGTCTGTCTCGGAGACCTTTTCTCTGTTAACTGGATGGAGAATGAAGACTTCCTTTCCGCGACTGGCTACAATGAGACTCTGGAGCAGCAATATGACCTGGTCAAAAAGGAAACCACCTTCAGGTTGGACCGCGGGAATTCACTCAGTCGAGTCTGCTTCCTTTTATTCATGTTATGCAGTATGGAGACACCACATTCACCAACGACTCTACCCAATATTTCATGGGTAGCAGGAACGGAAAGTTCAAGTTGATCGGTTCCGACTATGCTCCTGGGTGAGTAACTGAGTATCCTGACATCTATTTCGATGATCTTCTGTGGTGTCTCGTCCTACCTTGCGGCATTGATAAGACCAATGAAGTTTATTGAATGAACGATGTGTCACAAGGAGCGATTGGCTAAACGTTTGGGTTCATTCTAGGTCCGAAGCGACCGTTGAGCATGTCTTCGGGGAGTTCTTTGGACGTCCGAAGCCGCAGGGCATGACGGTTGAAGAGGTAAGAACTCTTTTTCCCATTTGGATATGCTGAGGGAGGAGATTGTCACGAGATCATTGGTTGATCCTAGGAAGTCGCGAGGGAGAAGGAAAGGCTCCGCGCTATCAAGCAAGTTAGTAGCGTACCATCAAGGATGATTCCCATCCACATGAAGTAGATTCCATTCAGTCCTGGCTCACTGATCTGCTCGCATTCAGATACAGCGAGCTGAGGGAAGAAGAGGGGAAGCCGAGCAACTACAGAAGGCAGTTAGAAGTCGCTAAGGAACTCCTTCAGACCGTCGAGGAAAGCGTGAGTAGTCTATTCAGAGTAGAACAGTCGGGGTCCATCCATTGTGCTGACGACCGCTCGAAGGGACGATAGACGTTCTTCAGATTCGTGAGATTGAGGAAATGATGGATCGCAATGAGCATTTACGCCTGGAACGCGATTTAGCCCACAGCTAAAAGTAAGTCCAGCCCTTGCTTTGGAGGATGTGGAGACCCATCGCTTCGATTGGCAGGAGTTCATGCTCATCAATGTAGTTGATAATGGAGAATATAGTTTTTAATACCAAGCCTACTCCAATGGTATCGGTAGTTACTTCAGCTATCGTATGTTTTTGTAATTTCTCCGGAGTGCCACTGGCAGTATACCAGTGCAAAGATCGCATGGCTTGGCCATCCCAAATTCTTCTCGAATCTATCACGGTTAACAAGAGTTTGCTACTAGCAGTTTCAATTGTGTACTTTGTTGTGTTTCGCACTAAAAAAGTGCTGGCTGGATTATGGGCAGATTGGAACGTGCATCGCGATTCATCTGTTCAACGAGGAGCCGGGACTGTGACTCAACTCTCAACCTCGAATCAACCCCGAGTGGTTTCGAGACCAGATCGATACTGCCTTGACAGCTGGCACTGTCAGGTCAAAATCAAGCCCACTCCTGAGACATCCAGATACACAACACTTATATTCAACTAAGCCATCTTACGTGCGATGAATGAGTGCCGCTCACTAGTTCTCTTCCTCTGTTTATTTTCAGAGGCGTTATGCCAAGCTCGTCTGAACGAAAGTTCCGCGAGTGCTCCTCCAAACGCACGTCGCGTTTGCCCCAACTGTATCTCACAGAGCATAATACAAAGTGTTGTAGGTTATAGCAACAGACTAAACGGACATCACAGATAAACAGCTCATAGCTAACGATTGATGAGGACGATAGTAGACAATAATTGTGTCAACCATCACATGCCCCTTTCTTTTGTTTAAGGGATTTTACTTTTGCCGAACGTCGTAACTCAAACCCATTTAAACTCCTCGATGACGAATCGTCATTGACGATGGCGAACCACTTTGGACATCTTGAACATCTTGAACTTCTTCTTGTCCTTGAGGATGAACAACCACATAAAATCCCACGAATGCGGGTATGCGGGAGGAAAACCTAAACATGAAACCCGAACACGAGCCTTGTGACTCTGTTGCGAGTTAGCTTTGGTTCTCCATGTCATAGCGCCAGTGAGTTTTGGACCGCTGTAGGTCGTGAGTGGTCAAACTAGCAGATAATACTCACTTGTGTGACCATAGTTTGTGAATGTGGGCCCTTCGCCGCCTAATCGTCGGCGACACATGAGGTCGATTAAAATGGGTTAAAACGATCGACATCATGTTGGACAGTCTATCTAACCGTCCGATCGGGCCATTTATGGTCATCAACTTGATGACTGTACTACTAGTACAGGCTTTTCACTTGATGACATCAAGTAACAGAAGACATCTCAGAACACAAGACAAAGTGTTGTTGGTTATAGCAACAGATTTGACGGACAGCACAGATAAACAGCTCATAGGTAATGGTCGATGAGGACGATAGTAGACAATGATTGTGTCAGCCATCACAATGGCATGGAGCATCATCACAATGCCCCTAGACATGGAAACACATATGTGAAAACAATCCGTCAATCGCATGTTTCATCATTTGTGGTGCTGAATGACTCCTCATTATGAGGTATACTCCTATTAGATGGAAGTAGACTGGCTTAATCAACGCTTTAGGCTCTTATTAGATGCATAATGCATCATGCATTACCATCAGCGACCATGCCAGACGCGACCACATGGGTCGGTGACATGAGAATACTGAGGATCGGTATCCCACTATCCCAAGGCAATGGAAGACGTCAGAGCCACCACCAGTCTGATAACATGACCAATATCGAGCAGAGGGCGTTTACCACAAAATTTGTGGCACAAATCCTCCAGATCTTCAACATTTATAATATCTTCAGCAGGCAGCGTATTTAGCGCTGGCAGCGCTGCGCTGCACGTAGTTCGGAACTACTAGCTCCATCATGTAGAGTCTACATTGTAGACCGAACATATTCAATGTTAGTTCTAGAGCCTTGCCACCTTGCAGGAGTGCCACAACTTTACGAAGGACTAGAATGTTCTGAACATACGTTAACTGTATGTGATATTGAGAAATCAGCTGAGGGTCCTTGCAGTAGTCCATCCAGCATCGCAAGGCGTCCTAAAGCTCTGTATGGAGCATGAAGGACCGTCCAGACAGCGGCTGCTTGCCTTCCAGTGGGCTTGCCCGGCTGCCAACTTTATACTCAGATCCCTCGGTCCGCCACAACCACTGGACGTTGCCCCCGTAGGGCCCGCTACAGCTTCGATACCGGGAGTGGCGACAGAACTTCCTGATTTCTCTTTGGCTGACGATGGTATTCTAATGAAGAGGTCCCAAACCCCGAAGGTGAATGCGTTCACCACTTCAGATCTGAACCTCAGATCCCAGACACGTTGGAGTCTTGCGTGTAGAGCCTCGCCGGATTGTCCCGAAGAGATACCAAGCCCAGCATCTGGCAGAGACTCGTAATATGAAAGGTACTGCTCTACATGATGGAACAACATGTGGACTTTGAGAGTTGGAGCCAAACCGGTTGCATACCATGCAGATTGCATGATGCAGTACCAAACTCATTTATGGACCCTTTCTAGCCAGGCAATCGACGATTCCCGAGGCATTTCTATTGCAAGTGGTAGAAAACTTTCAGCGCTTCCACAAAGGGTAGAGCCTTATTAGCGGAAGGTATATTATCCAAGGCCATAGCACGGAGCAATCGCGAACATC